GGGGGGGGGATAGCCTACAGTGTCGTAGTGTCATGTGACACACAATGAAGTTTTATCATGTAATGACGCTGTCTGGTTTGATAACGATGCTTTTTGGTAGAAACCATTTTTTCTTACATAATAAATTGAACTGTGTATATATGTTTACCAAACAATATAATGTTGTTGCATTTTAAACACAGAGAAGTATTAGAAACATGATTGTATGATCACGAGACAATATCTAAGTGATACCGTCAAATTTGCATGCTCCGAATAATCATATAACCCAAGCGTTATGCCATTCTGGAATTCATTTTCGTCTTCTTAAAAAGTCCGATACAAGTACGATATCAGCTAATCGATGTTGTTTATAAATCACATAAACAAAAGATTGACCGAGTTTGGTATGAGATTTACCTAACCAGGCAATATTGCCTGGTTCGTGCCGATACATTATCACGTCTCACCAATCAGGGGCCAATAATTGCATTGTGTGACAGACATGGGTCCCTAGTGGTCATTTTATTATGGCAACTAGACATGCATTGTCAATACTACTAGTATACAAGTGCTTTGTAAAGGCTTTTATAAAATGATCACTCGAAACTACACTATTTTTGTGTGTGAAAGGACTTTCTATTTTTCGGTTTAATTAACTTTGTCAAAGCAAACACGATTTTACAACGTTATTGTGTAGGAGGATTGAAATTGTAAAGTAAAACCTATTTGATTAAATGGCAATAATTTGAAACCGACGGAGAAGCTTCTACAAAAGCATGTGTCGTCTGTGTCCGACCACATCCGGTTTTTCGTAAATGATACCAATCACAATGACAGTCTGGCTTGACCCAAACAGTGTGCACTCCTTTATCGAGGGAGTCCGTCGTCAGCAGTTTCCTTCATTCATGTCCGTCCAAGTTGCTCTCGGCATTCGGTAATAGCAAACACACTGTCGGCGTTATTAGATTACAGAGCAATCGAAAGGGGCGGTACACCAGACGTCGAGAAGAACAAATTTGATTGGTTCGATATTCCTATAGAGTGAAAGATGCCCAAATATGGTCATGAAGCATCGAGTCGTTTCGTAGTCTTGTGAGACCAAGTCAGGCTCGGAGATACATAGAGCTCTGTGGTGAGGCTTGGAGGACAATCGTCGCTAAAACAGTCTAAGCTGGTTTGCAATTGTGCAACAACAGCAACGACAACAAGACAATGGCCGACGACGACGTTGCAGCTCTTGTCATCGACAATGGTTCTGGGATGTGTAAGGCTGGATTTGCCGGCGATGACGCTCCACGTGCTGTGTTTCCCTCCATTGTTGGGAGACCTAGACATCAGGTATACTGTCCGAGTTTTATCAGAACAATTTGCTATCAATTATAGCATTACTCATCGCTTTACATTATGTCCATTCTGTTATTTTTGCTTGTTCATATTCGTTAAAAACAATGTCTATAAAGTAAAACTGTGCTTTAAGGTCTGATGGCTGCATCATGCACACTTTTGAACAACTCTTTTCAATATTTTGCATACTTTGTAGAATGCCAAATCGATATTATGCATAAATTGATGAACACATTGTAAGAAATAAATGATTATGGAAATGTCTGTACGTACAAAAGCAGCACGCGCGTGCTCCAGGAACCGGACAGTCGTGTAGGCCGATCAATAGCATCCCGCCACCATTACAAGCCACCAACACCACACCGCGGCATGTGACTCATAGCTCTCGCAAGTTGTCGTAGATTTGACAGTAGACTGTACCACACCACGTGTCAGTGACAGACACTCCATTTATGATTTCTATTATTACCATGACATTACCACCGACACCCTTAAAAAAGGGATAATACATGGTGGCTAATCTTAATGATTCGAGCACAGTCGTGCATCTACACATTTTAAAGTAGTTATATGAGTTTTCTAGTGTCATTTGTTTTGTGTGTGTGTGTGTGGGGGGG